AAAATACGGTATCTGTTAAAAACCGGCTGTCAGCTAATTTTATTTGCATGACTCATTGTCAAGTAAAGAAAGGAAGGATAAAAGTCTGACACATTTGGATAAAGAGGGACACATTTTAGATGCCTATCCTAGGTTAATAAAATATTAATCCATCATGTGGGTAAAATTTATTAAATAAAATCGTAATTTTTAATTAGTGTTGCCTTTCTATGTAGAGCGCCCACTAAGCTTTGCTAATATTATATAAAACTGATGAGAAATAGTTGGGACATTTAATGTGGCCGATCATATAAAGAACAAATAATTAAAAACGTAAGAGTATATAAGCAGAGCTAATTTAAACATTCGATATCAGTACACTAAATCAAGAAAGTATTTGAAAAATATAATTATGGTCTTCAATGAATTTAATCAGACTTCCGAATCAGCTGACTAGATTATAAAAATAAAGAAGCTGGGTGCTCGGTAAACCAACAGGGCTATTAAAAATGCGGGAAATCTGGGCCAGCAGAAGAATCAAAGACCTTGCTTACTTATTGATCTGATGTGTAAGAAGCTCCAGGCCATGCTCAGCCAACCGCATTTGCTGCATCACAGAAGCAGCGGCAAAACGCTGTGCCTCCCCGCCAGCAATCTGAGAATTAAATAGCAACCCTGAGGATGAGGCCACAGAGGAAGGAGCAGTAACAGTGGCAGAAGGGGTTGTTCCAAGCTGGACTTCGACCGGAGACCCCACAGCTGAAGAAGCGTTCTCTATACTGGCGACAGGCTCGACTATTGACATTAGTGATGTATCACTCAGAGCTCCCAACTGTCGCCCCAAAGGTAGGTTCTCGGCACCATCAGCAGCAAGGCGTGGTCGATCGATACCAGATTCACCAGTTGGGCTAATTTGAGCGCCACCGCCAACGGAGGGAGTTTCACTAGTTAGGGAAGTGGCACAAGTCCCGGTGGAGGCGATAACACTCGAGCTGCCTCCAGATGAAGCAAGTAAGCCAAGAAGGGCAGCCTCTACAAAGCCAGAAGCGAGCGGACCAGGAAGAGTAGTACGTGAGCGGAGGAGATAGGGGCCGAGTTTGATGCGGATATGAGGAGACAAGGGGATGCGGCACTCTGTGCGACCCTGTATAGCGAAATTAAAGGGCATATTTTGGGAAATAAGCGTAAGGGAATGAGGCACAAAAGAATGAAGAAAGGAAAACTAAATACTAAAGGATGTTGGAGGTTTTCGCAAGAAGTTAGCTATTTTCAAATAGATCAGCTAAAAAGTATTGTGGAAAGATCTTTTATGTGTAATTAGAGGATAAAGGAGTTTCTAGAGCCTTCAAATGTTGACTTGTGAGTTTATTCGCAAATCTATTTGGAAAGACAAAAATGTATTCAGGAATAGTGTACTGATGAAGGACAATTTGCATAAGAGATACACAAGTTGCTAGGTAAACCTAACCTTTAATTATTTGTGAAAATGGATAAATACCATGAAAAATGTAGTGATTTAACTCGTTCAGAAATAGGATAAGCCTAAATACAATCAGTATTCGTAAAGTGGATCATATATTTGTCTGAGTAAAACTATAACTGAGAATTCAAACTATATGAAATCTAAAATAGCTTCTAAAGTAGCAGATCTATAAGTAAACTGTCCAAAAAAAAACAAAAAAGATTTTAATCTCAAAATCTTTTTTGAAATGTTCAGTGCCCTCAGCCCGTTAATAGAGTAAATATACTTGGGCCAGACTAGAAGCAAAAGCCCATCTGAAACGATTCAACTCAAGACTGCAATCCATCAAAGAACTGTTATGAAAAACAGAGTTGAAAAATTTCTAATGAATATTAACCAAAGAAATTTGAACATAAATGAGAAAAGAATGTGAATATGAAAACGGTATCTCGAACTACACATTCTTGCCAATGCTAACGGTATATTTTACTTTTAAAGAGAACAAAACTAATTTGATAGCTCGAAAGATGCAGCATAGGTATAGTGATTTGTAGTGAGAATTGGAAAAATGAAGTCTCCTCATTAAACAGCAAAGATTTTTGAGGAACTTTAATCATCACTCGACAAAGATTTATATGTGCACGAATGATTTTATGATCCACGCAAGATGAATGGTGATGATAAGATGAAAGTAAACAAATAAATATAATTGCTGAACAGATATTCAAAAAGCTAAATAAAGCCGAGCTCAAAGTAATGA